ACACTATAGCTATGTACATATGACAATAAAAGCCTTGCACCTTGATCTGTACTTGTTAAAACATTAATGACATAGTAAGATAAAGTAATCTCACTGAAGTTGTTCATTGGCTGAGATAAACAAATACTTATCAGAAACCAAAGGTAGATGTCTATAAACTACATTTCATTTGATCAATAAAGAAATATGTTCTTGTTGCTTCCTCAATAAATCCAGCAGGGTAAGTTTAAAGGTTAGCCATCTTAACTTTAACAAGCAACTTTCATAAATATTCATATAAAATAAAATATGGGAAAAAATTCCAAAAATATAGGTGTGTCTTAAGCAACCCGGTATCACGGCAAGACGTGAACATGTGACGATTTACCATGCTGGGAGACGTGAAGATGTCACGATTTCGTCCCTTCAAACGTGACAGTTACACGGTATTGTTAACATGGGCCAACCAGTAGAGAAATACCCGGAAATGCCAAGCAAATGCTCTACCATGACGGTCGGTTGTTATTGTCAATATTAATATAATAATGATTTATTTTTTTAATAGTCACACTCGATTTCGCCGATTTTCTTGTTGCCCCAGCTGGTCGACACCTCTTTTAGCAGAAACAAAGGCTACATTAATGTATTAAATCGATGTTAATCCATGTGTGTGGAATTAACGGACATGACGTTATGCAATTGCGTTGCCAGGCAACAGTTGGGGTTCATGTTAATTTACAAACTCTTCAACTAGAACCGTAGTTATATTTAAAAACATTTTAGAAGGCCTCACGAAATACTTTAATGTACATTTAAATTTAAATTTAAATGTGAAGGAATGTGTGTATTGTGGTGATTGACATTATTCACCCACGGATCTATGGGTTGGGGTATTGTTCCGCACGGACATTTTAGTTAACCGGACTTCCTGTTTCCGCCGGTCTTCGCTTCCCGGGCTTGAAGCTGTTTACATGTTGTTCTGATGCTAAATAAAAGTCTAGCTTGTACCTTTGATACCACGCCTCCGACTCCCGTCTCTCGGCACTACAGTATAACTAAATACATCCGTCATAAACAATACCGGAAAGTTTAGACGTAGGCAAGATCCTCAGCTCGGGGTTTAGCCGCAATGCACGCTGGGATATGGTGTTTATGCGATGTGAAATCCGAAAACATTTTTTAGAAATAAAATAATACTTTATTCCGAGTGTGCTTGCTTTTCTCTTTGAAAGTCATCACATAACGGCATTGTAATACACGGTTCGGCTGCATTAAATATTACATATCTGCCGTAGTTCGCTATTTATAGAGCCCTGATGAGAAGACTTCTAGACAAACAGGAAGAACTGCCGCCAAAACTGAAAACGTGACGTGGATCATAAATATATCAGCAATTAAACAACATCTTACATTTCTTTTCACACAATACGTCTCCTTGCAGTATCAACACTAATTCGGCTGACTTTTATATTTGATCCAATTGGTAGATAGGCTGTATTTACACCATAACGGTGCACAGCTGATAGAAAGGGACACCTAGTGGTTAAAGCACGTTATTGAATTTTATTATTTTTATTATTAGATATTAATAGGAGGATGTGCAAAACAGACAAACTAATAAGGCTTTATTTAAACATTAAAGAATACTTTAGGTTAAGGTCTTCTTTTGAATAAGAAAAAAGCTTTGGGGGTATCTACAGATGACAAAGTACTTAACGTCTAATATATTGCTTTCCTGCAATGTTAACTATGTTTAAGCACGTATTTTAACTGATATTATACATATGTATTATACTCTTATAAGATGTATGTAGATAGTATAAGAAATGTGCAGAATATGACAGTTTAATGGTGGAGGTATACACACATATTGATAGATGTCTTGTAATGCACTGTTGAGGAACCTGCGACCCAAGTTTTTCATTCATTGCATAACTACACCGTAGTTGTGTATAATATGATATGTCAATAAACCTTAGAAAATCTTGAAATCTTGAAAGGGATGTGCAAAATAGTCATTATATACAGTCTTTAATTAACTATTAGTAGAGAATAACGAGTAATGAATATACTTTATAAGGATCCTATTAATATCTAACAATAAAAATAATAACATTCAATAACGTGCTTTAACCACTAGGTGTCCCTTTCTATCAGCTGTGCACCTTTATGGTGTAAATACAGCCTATCGACCAATTGGATCAAATATAAAAGTCAGCCGAATTAGTGTTGATACTGCAAGGAGACATATTGTGTGAAAAGAAATGTAAGATGTTGTTTAATTGCTGATATATTTATGATCCACGTCACGTTTTCAGTTTTGGCGGCAGTTCTTCCTGTTTGTCTAGAAGTCTTCTCATCAGGGCTCTATAAATAGCGAACTACGGCAGATATGTAATATTTAATGCAGCCGAACCGTGTATTACAATGCTGTTATGTGATGACTTTCAAAGAGAAAAGCAAGCACACTCGGAATAAAGTATTATTTTATTTAAAAAAAAAAAATTCGGATTTCACATCGCATAAACACCATATCCCAGCGTGCATTGCGGCTAAACCATCCAATCACCGAGCTGAGGATCTTGCCTACGTCTGTTTCCGGTATTGTTTATGACGGATGTATTTAGTTATACTGTAGTGCCGAGAGACGGGTGTCACTACCCGATCTGCCCCGCGCATGTGCGAGATGGTCCGCCATATTGGACAACTACATACGGCAACTCTAATAGGACACTTGACACAGTGGCGTTTGGCAAAGCAGAAAAAGAACAGAGAGAGATGAGTTATTGTTATTACAACGTGACTTCACTATTATTTAACAACTCTTTTTATTGGGTTCTTTTATTTGGGGTTAAGTACATTGTCAGAATAAGTGAGAAATGGATTTAACTTCTGTTAGACAGCCATCATACTGAATACATATTTACTGTGAATGTATGCAAAAATGTATGGCATATAGCTGTCTAACAGAAGTTACATCCATTTCTCACTTATTCTAACAATGTACTTAACCCCAAATAAAAGAACGGGAGTCGGAGGCGGGGTATCAAAGGTACAAGCTAGACTTTTATTTAGCATCAGAACAACATGTAAACAGCTTCAAGCCCGGGAAGCGAAGACCAGCGGAAACAGGAAGTCCGGTTAACTAAAATATCCGTGCGGAACAATACCCCAACCCATAGATTCGTGGGTGAATAATGCCAATCACCACAATACACACATTTCTTCACATTTAAATGCACATTAAAGTATTTTGTGAGGCCTTCTAAAATGTTTTTAAATATAACTACGGTTCTAGTTGAAGAGTTTGTAAATTAACATGAACCCAAACTGTTGCCTGGCAACGGAATCGCATAACGTCACGTCCGTTAATTCCACACACATGGATTAACATCGATTTAATACATTAATGTAGCCTTTGTTTCTGCTAAAAGAGGTGTCGACCAGCTGGGGCAACAAGAAAATCGGCGAAATCGAGTGTGACTATTAAAAAATAAATCATTATTATATTAATATTGACAATAACAACCGACCGTCATGGTAGAGCATTTGCTTGGCATTTCCGGGTATTTCTCTACTGGTTGGCCCATGTTAACAATACCGTGTAACTGTCACGTTTGAAGGGACGAAATCGTGACATCTTCACGTCTCCCAGCATGGTAAATCGGCACATGTTCACGTCTTGCCGTGATACCGGGTTGGTCTTAAGCCTATTACACACCAAACTGACACCAAAGAACACGTCCCGACGGAACGTCGGCTCACGTCGCCTGCGTCTTGGCCAACAGTCGCACTGGAACACACCGCAAAGACTTCAGCCGACGGCCAAGTAGCACGTACGAACTGCGCATGCATGAGTGGCAATAACTTTCCTTACCAGCAGGCGGCGGTAGTGTGTATTCGTCATTCAAAAGAGGCAACAACCGGAAGACAGACTGCGTGATACACCGAGAGAAGAGGAACAGACCGCGTGATATAAACAAACAACAAATAGCGTGTGTATTCCATTTTCACTCTACAGCGAGAAGCTCATGGGGCTTTCCCGAACCTGTGTCGAGAGCTGGAGTTAAATGAAATCTCAGATTTGCCTTCTTAATCATTTGTTTGGGTCCCTCACTTCCGTTTTGCTTCTCATGCACTGATTCTCTAAGCTGAACAGCCAATCAGAGTGATTTATTTAGCCGACGGCACGGAAGGTGTCGACACGGCCGAAAAGACACGACGGTGCAGTACACACCAATCTGAGTAGGGCGACAGGACGCTCATCAACGGCCAGACATCTATCGACATCTATCGACGGCCGAAATCGGCTTGGTGTGTAAGGACCTTTACTTGTCCAGTGTAGTAATACACAGGGCCGTCCCTCCCTACAGGCCGATCACGCAGACTGCGTGGGGCCTCACCTTACGGAGGGGGCCTCACCTTGTACACAGCATTCACACTAATAAAAGGAAATACAATATTGGTATGGATTCGGAGTCAATTGGTCACATGAAAGTTATTAAAATGATCTTCTATTACAATATTTATATTGGCTAAAATGAAATAAAGTTATGGGTTATTAAGTATTTGTGTCATCATTTTCCCCAACATGAGCAAATTATCACAGAGGCAGGGAAAATAACATTGATTTTGTTGATAGTTTATTGATGGGCCCTTAATGAAACCCTGCTATAAGGTTAAGAACAAAGGGCTGGGATTTCAGCTAACCATCCTCTGGCTTCTGACACTCTGTAAAACTGAATAAAAAGAGTCTAACAGCCAATCCTAAAACTAACTTCATGATTGAGATCATTCATGGCAATTGCTTGAATTGGAGGCTGAGGGTTTCAAACATGGAGAGGTGAAAATCCCACAATAACGTTTTAAATGGGTGTGTACAAATAAAACTGACACCCCACTATTATTATTTAGCCATAGTTGAAGTGATAATTACAAAAAGTGGGCCATCCATTCTTAACACCTGTTTCTGTAATGAGCCCGTAATGTTTCTTTAAGAGGAAGGAAATGAACGGGGGGAAGTGAGGCAAGAAGACACCACTTTCTCCGAGCCCTCACAATCAAAACATTATTCGTGCGCAATGGGTGAGTCTTCATCTCGAGAAAGACACCGTCTAATCTAACACTTGGCGCACATAGTCGGGGAGCGGAGACTGTTGCACGATGCTCCGGCTGAACGACACCGTGGAGGCGGAGAGTGCTGCGATCCTCCACCCTGCAGAAACCGAGGAGGGGGTCGAGGTTGCCTTCACGCCGCCGGAGGCCGGACGAAGCCTCGGGTACGGAGCCTCCGTGGCCTGCTGCCCCCCTTTACAGACGCTGACGCCTTTTCATGTGCATAACCCCACAATGCAAGCGAAAGTGAAGGACTACTTCGTGTTTAGGGTAAGTTAATCTCCACCTACAGCGATGTTTGTGTATGCGCATGTCTCTTTTCAGGGTGTCTACAACACACTGCTCTTAACAGGTAAACAAACACGACCAATATCATAGCACGCTGTGTATACTAGCCGCACCAGCACATCACAGGGAGGAAGGGGTGATAACTGACGGTTGTGTGATGCTAATCTCAGCCAGGTACCATTGAGCAGGCAGTGAGCGACATCAGGACCGTGGCACTCCCTTCCGAGGATGGAGAGGTGCTCAGCGTCTGGCTGCTAGCCGAGTAAGTACCCAGCTCTGTGTTTGGATCAGCTGCTGTGTGCGATTCAATGTTTAAAATCAGGGGTGGAACTGGGAAGTAACTAAGTTTATATTTACTCAAGTAATGTATTTAAGTACAATGTTGAGATCCTTGTACTTTACTTGAGTATTTCCATGTTATGCTACTTTGTACTTCTACTCCACTACCATTCAGAGGCAAATTGTGTACTTTTTCTCCATTATATGTATTTGGTACCTTTAGTTACTTTACAGACTTGGATTAAGAATGTGAAATATAAACAATACATATTACACCTAGAGTAAATTCACAATCTACCCTGCAGCATACAAACAAATTAAAACTAGCTGCATCATTACCAGCTTTGATAACATATTATTCTGAAATAGGCCAATCTTCATAATAGTTGCTTTTACTTTTGGTACTAAGTTTATTCTGATGCCAATACTTTTGTACTTTTACTTGAGTAAACTTTTGACTGCAGGACTTTTACTTGTAACAGAGTATTCCTACAGTCTGGTACTTCTATTTTTACTTAAGTACAAGATCTAAGTACTTCTCCCACCTCTGTTTAAAATACTTATAAACAAACAGGCAGGTGTAGAGGATGTTAGAGGGGCCCTCTAGAGGGGCCCAAATTCATAAAAGGGCAAGCCGCAATTTTTGTTACTAATTTAATAAATATACCCCTGGAATGACTACAGTTGTGACAGTGTTATAGGGGTATTAAAATCAATGTATTTAAAACAAACCAATGACTGAGGTTGGTTTAAGCACTGCTACATGAAAGCCAATTAATGACCAATAATTTTCTGTTTGAACACATGTAAACCAGGTAAAAGGTAAATGACACAGAAGTGCCTTAGCCAATCAGAATTCAGATCCCGCAGCATCATAGGCCGGTTAGTCTGCACACGCTATAGTCAGACCCCCAGATAAAAAAAATGTCTAATAGTAGGGGGAAAGGGCAGGTGCTGAAGACCCCTCTGAGGTCTATCTGTGCACGTGCCTGTACACAAAGAGGAATCAGCTGGAGATTTGTTAAAAGATACAGATTAAATGTTTAATTTTGTTTAATCCATGTGTGTATGTTTTACATGATCATAAACATCTGCCAACGGCTTGATTTATTTTTTTTAATTATTTTATATTCTTAACTTTTTGTAAAAAAGACAACAGTTGAAGGCCAGATTTCTTATTGTGTTCTAAAACTGTCAAAACGCAGCTGGAATATTTGTCAATTGTATGTGGGTCTTCTGCAGAATTGACCACTGGAACAATGAGAAGGAAAGACTAGTGCTTATAACTGATAGGTAAGTCAAAAAGTATATTTTGTTGACCCAATATTTGAGGAAATATACCACATAGAATGACACGACATTAGGGTGATATCTAACTTGTTTTGGGTGTGTGCGCAGGTCACTGCTGGTGTGCAAGTACGACTTCCTCAACCTGTTGTGTCAGCAGGTCGTCAGGATCTCTCTCAACGCTGTAGACACCATCTCAGTGGGCGAGTTTGAGTTCCCACCCAAATCCCTCAACAAGTATGCCAGAAGACTTCCAACAGAACGTTTTTAAGTTATTAATGCCAGTGTTAAAAATAACTCTAGCTTTCCAAGTACCATGAGAAATCCTTCAAAAGTTATCGTACAGAATGTTTAGTATTTTTACAATTGGTAGTATAGTTCTTTTAGTAATCATAAGCTTGAATGTTTTAACATCTATAGAAAGGTTAACAAGATGATTTACTGGTAGGGAAAAAAGAGTTAGGGTTAATCTGAATATAAAGAAATGTAAGAGAGCATTGAAAAAAGATCCTGTATGATTTCTGATTTAAAAAAAAGCTGGGTTTCTTTTTAAACATAGGTAGCTCAGCTTAGTGAGCTAGTGATGCTAAAATATCCCACTGCTCTTACACAGATGTGTTTTTTTTAAAGGAGAGAAGGCTACGGGATTCGTGTTCAGTGGGACAAACGTCCTCGGGCCTCATTCATAAACCGCTGGAACCCCTGGTCTACAGAAATGCCCTACGCCACCCTCGCTGAGCACCCCATGGCCCACGCCGATGAGAAAGTGGCCTCCCTCTGCCAGGTATATTCCTTTCATCTAAATAAAACAGCAATGCAATCACCTGATAAAAACATCTGAGGATTTAAAGCTTGACGTTCTGCCCATTTCAAGATAAACAATGGTGACCACTGGTGCAGCAGTTCATTCACGCAGAATATGGAGCATATACAGGCACAGCCCAACTGAAAAATCTAAACGTAATTCCTTGAGACAGTTACTAATATTTCTTTAAACAGTGGAGACACAGCTTTGTGTATGAACAGTTATATTCAAAGTTTCCTTTCTTACTGGCAAGGCAACAACAGTACCTTGGGCAATGTTCTGGAGAATTGACTGCATTCTCTCCTTCCGTTATTAGCATTGCTACATGTAGTAAATGAAGCCACACCATGTTAGCATCAAAGACTCAATTATATGCATAATACCACAGTTTAGAGATGCTCCATGAGATGTTGCTTTCAAGCTAGACATCAAGTGTTCATATAGATGTAAGTTTCATACTATGTCCATTAAAAACAAATTACTGACTGGGAGTGTTTGGAAGGTTTGTTGAGGTTTCATGATCTTTTGCTCTTTCTTGCCAAGTTGGACAACTTCCGGACCCAGCTGGTGCAGGCAGTGAAGAAAGCCCACAAGGAGCACCCCATCCCTGGTCGGGCTAACGGTGTCCTGATCCTGGAGAAACCCTTACTCATCGAGACCTATTTGGGAATTATGTCCTTCATCAATAACGAGGCAAAGTTGGGCTACTCCATAACCAGGGGCAAGATCGGCTTCTAAAAGTCACAGTTTCTCCAAATTACAACAGAGTTCAGCCCCTGTGTCTGTGTTACACTGCCCTGTCTGAGGGAAGCTTTACTACAGTGTAATACGCAATGTGTGTGTACGCTGAGCCCATGAGAAGTCCACACCTCCCTCAAGTTAGTGTTGCAGACAAGAGGTCAGCCTACTGTAGGTAAATGATGTGCAACACTGCATGGACTGTCTTGGTTTTTTCGTGTTTTTATCCCCCCACAGCCCGTGTGGCAAACATTTGTGAGAAGGACATAGCTCTTGCATCAATTCTTCAGCTTACTGTAGTATTTTACTCCTTGTCTAACCACTAATTGAGAGACTGTCAAAAATGGAGATTGTGGTAGAGAAATGCAAACAAAAGAGAGGTTATTTCTTGGTTAAGGATGTTGTTTGTTTGGGCTCGCTTCTAAACAAGGATTATTCAGATCACAGGGACATTGGTTAGCCTTACAGAATAGGAAAGCAAACCATGGCTAAAGTTTAATTATTTAATAAATGGTTCTAAAGGGAAACTGTTTCAGGATCTACACTGCTATAAATAAAAGCTCTGGGTTGAGTATGGAAGATAACAGTTGTAATACACTCCTCAGAGTCCATGAAACTTGAGATTATACTTATATTGCATTGACCTTTCTCTCTTATTTGCCAATGTTGTGCTCTCTATGCTTACATCCGCCTAAATATGTCTTTGCTCAGAGCAGTTACTCATCTACTACTTGTAGAGCTGCATTAGCTAATACAGCTCAAATGTTCTTGTATGTTACAGATGTTTTATGCAACTTGAATTTGAAACCAGTGTCTTTATGTTGGTTTGTTTGTAATTTAACTTAAAGATCTTGCATTGGTTTAAGGCACATTTGCACTAAGTGGCACTGAACTGTGCAGTGGAATAATGGTTGGGTTTCAAAGTGAAATACATGCACACAAAACATCGGTTCATTAACAACATGCCGTTTGTATCTTATGAATAGGATAACAGGATTGTTTCCTGTACTCACCTAAAATACATTGTTGTGCTACCAAAGGTTACAGGCCATATTTTCATGTTCAACAATGTTAGTGAATAATTGTGTCCCAAAATGCCTTTTCCGGTCTTTACCCGTGCATGTTCCCTGCACGTTGGGTTTGCATGAAAGATGTTTTTTTAAAGGAATATTCTACATGGCTTTGTAAATACTAATTTAGTTTTATTTATCTGTTGTTATTTTTGATGCAGTCAACTCATGGATTCCTCTAGAAAAATAAATATTTCATTGCCAATTCTGAAGTATTTCATTAAGAGATTATGACAAAAATGTGAAGGCTTACTTTTTGTTTTAAATATTTGTAGCACAAGAATGAAAAGTCAGCTTTGAAAATAGAGACAGATAAATGCCTGCACGTTAACCAAGTAAAAAATGGCTCAACATTCAAGCTTCATAAATAAAACATCAGACAGGTGATTCTTAAAGTCAGGTAAAATGGTCGCTAATCTGTATGTTTAGTAGTGCCTGGGCAGAGAACACTGATTTAATAACCGGTAGAAAGATTTTGATCCACACATTTTAGTAACTGACCGTAAGCTGCATTATTTATGACAACATTTATTCAAAATAATTAAACAATTTCAAAGTAGAACTAATACAAAATACTTACAACTAAATGTACAGTCAAATCTATAAAACTATGTAAACCACTATCTTCTCACAGTGTTTGGAACTAGTGCTTCTGTATGCATTTGGTCATTCAAAAAAGTGATATTTGTTGATTCTATGTCTCTCAGGAGGAATGTCAGAGCAGGTTTTCCATACATTTTTTACTTGACAAGAAAAGGAGTATACCAGTAACCTGCACTGAGGGCCCTTAAAACTTGGCGAGAATCTATAGCACGACATGTGCAAGAAGGAGGGGGAGTGTCACCCTCAAGTCTTTTTGTCATCACCGTAACACATTCTACGGAACTGAAATCCAGTTATTCTTGAAACCTGTGTATTTGTGAGTTTTACTTGTCCTCCTGGTCGTTGTCCATGTAGCACAAACACAGCTGCTCCTTCCCTAGCAGGATCAGAGAGTCTCCGCTGCAGTGCCAGTTCAGTGACTGGACCTGGAAACCACCTGGCAGGATAGAGAGGGGCAATTGTGATGACTACACATCTACACATACACAAAATAAAGGGGAAAATTGTACTGCATCGTTAGAAAACACATGGAACTTGTTACTGTCATTGCACAAGACAGAATCAATAAACTTTTAGGGTTTAAAACGGATAATTTAGTTTGTTGTTCTATACTTTCTAAGTCAAACACACCCACCTTTCAGAGTTCAAATGAAATACCAAAGATTTGTTTAGCTTTGCCTTTTGAATTCAGACATCACATATTTCACTTGGATCAAACCAATGTCACATAACATGAGTTCCAGGACATTAGGAGGAAACTTTTCATGTAACCGGCTTATTCTATATTTGAGAACATCATAAGCTTTGTATTGAAAAAATTTGACATTTTGATCTCTTTGAGGACTTCACCTTCAGTGGGGACCTGGACAGAAACGCAGCCTGCTGGGGACCAGAGGTAGAGTTTGGTGTTGCCTGTACAGAGGGCCAGCCGGGGGCGTCGGGGGTCCCACTGAAAGCAGCGCACGGCCGCTGTCTGCTCGAGCACCGCCACCAGGCTCATCTTCTGCACATCCCACACCCAGACAACACTGGCCATGTTGTCTACGGTCAGAGAAACACAGATACAAACTCAAAGCCACTCTCAGTTTATAGAGCAATGAATCACTAATATTGCATCACAAATAAATGAACACTAAAGTCGATGTTTACAATCAAAACAATTAAAACTGTTATAACCTACGGCAAGGAGCTTGTTTTTGCTACCGTTTTTTTAAACAGGGTTAAAGAAAGGTTTTAGCATGGGCCAATGAATAACCCAATACATTACAAAGCAGATACACAAATTATGTTTCACTTCACTATTCTGATTGAGATTTCGACACATCATAAAGAAATAAAAAAAGAAATGTAACTCAAAAGTAAAACTGTCAGGGTGTTTGTGAAGAACGACTTTCCAACTCAGAAAGGATGAGAACGCACTATAGGCGAGTGTAGCTCTCAGAGTGCCATTCTCCTTTACATATAATAAAAAGATGGTACAAAATAAGAGTGAAAAGTCTTACCGTTTTTGGTGGCTAGATAGCGACTGTCTGAGCTGAATGCCAAAGTGGAGACGCCAATCTTAGGGTTGGCTCGGTCTGGGTCTGGTTTAACTACAGGAAGATGGACTGGCGTTGGGTAGATCTCATCTGGAGTGGAGAGCAAAACAAATGAGTTTGTAATTAAACAAAGTTGGCTTACTGAACTCAGTAGTTTTATTCAAATACTGCCGATGGAATGTTTTTTTATCCAAAAGCTGACATACATTTGCTCTGTGTGTTGAAGAGGGTGTTGCCAATTGTGATGTTGTGTAGCGATAGGTCATCACTGCAAACAGCGGGCCTTTTCACCACTTCCTTATATACAACCTTAAAACACAACAAACAGTTAATAACTAAACTCCAAGGCCTGCAAGGCTCATCAGGAAGGATGGAAACATACTCACTGCTTTTGTGTTGTTGATGGTTGCTGGATGCTCAAACTGTGTGATTTTCTTCCACGTGATATGATTGAGGATGCGCACCTGACATGAGGGTAATAAAGTATCGTTTTAAGTAATAATCTTGAAGAATTCAATGTACAACAAATGTCTGTTTAGTCACTATCGCAGCCTTTAGGAAATATCACAAGCAGCGATCTCCAATAAGGGAGATCCAAAATCCTGCTTATCAGTAGAGGTGCTGCAGAAGAGAAGGAAACCAAGACCTTTTTGATTGTTACTTAAAGCTTGTATCATTCTTTTTACGAAATAAATAATTAATTAATTAACAAACCAGTTTTACACATCAATGTCTGTTTTTAGGTCTGAATATCTGAAGAAAAAAGAAACTTGTAAAGCTTTTTGTGGCAAAATATGGAACTGCGCAAATCTGATTCATCTTCGTTTGGGGCTAAAAGTTTGAAATAATATCTGGGAAAGGAAGAAGCCAGCTCAATAGGCGTGTATAGCCTTGCACATCCCGGAAGGCTGAATTAATCGCTACCAACATAACACACACAAATGGCACACTCCGACTGAACTGTCTGTGGTCACGTTGCATTGTAAGTAATTATATGGTACCAGTTTTGACAATGAACTAGAAATGAGTGTAATAAGGAGTGCAATGCCAAATTAGTGGAGGACTTTTACAAACACATGGCTTTAAATTGATTAATCGTAGTTATATTGTCAAGCTATAGTTTTATTTCTTAATGTTATCATCCATCAAGAGTGTCCATACCTTCTCATCATAGCTGCCGATGGCCAGGAACTGGCTGCTGGGGCTCCAGGTCACTGACTTGACCCCCAGAGACCACTCATAGGCACTGTAGGTTGACAGCAACCGGCCGTCCAGAGAATACAGCAACACCTTGTACTGTGGAGAGGAAAACACACAATATTACTTTCAATGTATCTCCCCACCTGCCCCAATAGACTTTGACAATAAAGAGCCCTATAATATGATTCCTTACTAAATAAAAAACATACACTTATATTACAGTGCTGTTCTTGTAACCTTTTGATAGGATTTAAAAATGTGTCAAAAGTTATTTTCTGTTGCTACAAGTACTCAATTGCAGAACATCTTCAACCGAGGTCAGCTTTATCAATAGGTTCCCTCTGTATGCTGTATGCAGGAGATGTAGGGAGTCTTGTATAATAGTCTTGTATAACCAGTCTCTTTATACAGATTATGTTTTACTTAGTTTATAGTTTCTCATGTCTTCAGTTTCTTGTCCTGCTCTAGTGGGAATGTTCTCATCAGCAACTTCTCACCCTATTTTAGTATCTATGATTATAGACACTTATTTATGATATATAATGTCAAATGTAATAAGAAGGCCTGGAAAGTCAAACTTAAAGTCTACTTTAATGGAGGGCCTTGAGTGTGTACATGTTTGTATGTTTGTATGTTTTTTCCGCGGTTTCGACTCTCAATGGACTGTTTTCAGCCAGCTGCTTCAGATTCTTTATGTGAAACATTAAGTACATGCTCAAAATATCTAGCAGGGAAGTTAATCTGATATATTCTCTTGTGAAATCTTAGGTGTTTAAAGCAAACAGCTCACCTCCAGACAGCTATCCCACACTGCCAGCACACAGCCATTGGGAGACCACTCCAACCCTGCCAGGTCCTGAGTCTCAGTCTCAAAATGCTGTGACAGAGTCAAGGTATATCAAATTCATTTACAGACAAAACTGCATGTACCACATCCAATTTGAAATAATTCATATGCAGAGTTTACTTTAATGTCTATCATGTTTAAGATCAGCCTCTTGTGTACGTTGGGCAAACAAAGCCATTCAAATACAGCTCCAAAAATCATTTTTTTAGATGCTTTACAAAGTAATATACAGTCACAGGAGGATACTGCATGTCTTTTAAGTCACCTACATTTAGATTTATTTTACTGATGCTTACTTAGATTACTCAAATTTCAAATGTATAATCCTGGTCATAAAATATACAATTTGAATGTGCTGCTTACCCTGAGTAAATGCCAGTCGTCACACACGAATACGCTGACAAAGTCTTTGCAGTCACGGCGTTCAGCCAAGGCCATGTAGCAGCCATCTCTGCTGAAATCAATACCTTAGGGTCAAAGATGATGGGAGAACGCCCGCATTAAACCAGTTATAAAAACACAAGTATAATAAGATCTTCCAATGTCACGACAACTGACAAGTTTAACTCAAAAACACAGTATGTTAAAAACACACAACAATTAGAAATCAACCTAGAAAGAAATGTAGTTAAGTTTCACTCTTACACTGTACAAGCTAGTCAAGTACAGTTCTATAGCGGACGTAGAAAACAATCATTCCGGTTTTAACATTTTATCTGTGCTGACTTTATTCAACACTCAGAGGTTAAGAAACGGCAGCAGCAAGGAACAATGACACAATACAAATATTAATAAAGTAATAATAAAACTGTCTATTGACTTGAAAGCCAGTTATCTACTCCGATAACTGAAAAGGTAACCTCATAGCTCCATGTTTATTTTAGTCAATGTTATAAATGAGATACTCTGTCATCATCAGGTCGATAGAACATTACCATGGTGCTCGTATCATTTAGATGAGGGTTAGGGGATACATGGGTTGCAGAGGGACTTGCATGCAGAAAAACGGGGAGAGTC